TCGACGATGCTTCCCAGGTATGTGAAGGATTCCACATCTTCCAGAGTTTCGCCATCAAGAGTGATTGGATTGCTGTTCTCCGTGTTGTGTTTGAAGACCTTGGTTTTCCCTTTGTTTATGTTGAGGCCTACTGATGCAGAGACTGCTGCTTCTCTGGCTGTCTTTATCTGCATTTGTTCGTGTGTATGTGATAGGAAGGCTAGGTCATCTGCGAAGTCCAAGTCGTCTAATTGGTTCTGAGCTGTACATCGTATGCCGTGGTTTCTCTCAGATGTCGAAGTCTTCATAATCCAGTCGACCACCAGGAGAAACAGGAAGGGAGAGAGTAGACAACCTTGTCTTACTCCGGTCCTTACTTGGAAGGCGTCAGTCAGCTGTCCTCCATGCACTACTTTGCACTGTACTCCATCGTATGAGTTCCGGATAATGTTGACAATCTTGTCAGGAACTCCGTAGTGTCGAAAAAGTTTCCATAACGTTCTCCTATCTGCACTGTCAAATGCCTTCTCATAATCAATGAAGTTGATGTAGAGTGACGAGTTCCACTCAATTGATTGTTCGACGATGATCCGTAGTGTCGCAATCTGGTCTGTGCACGACCGGTCCTTACGGAATCCAGCTTGTTGATCTCGAAGTTGAGCGTCTACTGCGTCTTTCATCCTGTTCAGTAACACTCTGTTGAAGACTTTACCTGGTATTGACAGTAGTGTAATGCCTCTGTAGTTTTCACACTTGCTCAGATCTCCTTTCTTTGGAATCTTGATGAGGTGTCCTTCTTTCCAATCCATCGGCACTTGTTCCTCCTCCCAAATCTTCTTGAATAGAAGATGAAGCATGCTTGTAGTTACTTCAATGTCTGACCTCAACGCTTCAGCTGGTATATTGTCAGGTCCTGCTGCTTTCCCGCTCTTGATTTGTCTGATGGCCATTCTGAATTCTTCGATAGTTGGTGGATTGACATCTATTGGAAGATCTGTGTGTGCTGCTTCGATGTCCGGTGGATTCATTGGAACCGGCCTGTTCAGGAGTTCCTCGAAGTGCTCTGCCCATCTGTTCCGCTGTTGTTGAATCTCAGTGATTGGTCTTCCTTCTTTGTCTTTGACTGGTCTCTCTGGTTTACTGTATTTCCCTGCTAGCTTCTTCGTCGTATCGTAAAGCTGTCTCATATTTCCTTCTCTTGCAGCTTTCTCCGCCGTCGTTGCTAGTTCTTCCACGTATTTTTACTTGTCAGCTGTAATGCTCTTCTTCACTTTCTTGTTTGCTTCTATGTACTCAGTTTGTGCCTTGACTTGCTCTGCTCTTGTTCGACTGTGGTTAATTGCTGTCTTCTTGTTCTTTCTTTCTTTGATCCCGTCCAGTGTTTCTATAGAGATCCATTCCTTGTGATGATGCTTCTCGGGGCCCAGAACCTCTTGACACGTTGAAGTTAATGTTTCTTTGATGACTTTCCAGCTATCCTCCATAGTAGTTTCTTCTTCCTTCAGTAGATCCTGTAAGGCTTGGAACCTGTTGTTGAGAGCTACCTTGGATTCATTGAGTTTGTCAGTATCTCGAAGGAAGGCTGTATTGAACCTTTGCAGCGTTGATTGTCCAGTTCTTCTTTAGCTTCAGTTTCAATTTGGCCACAACCAGGTGATGATCTGAAGCTATGTCCGCTCCTCTCCTGGTTTTCACATCTTCCATTGTCCTTCTGAACTTTTTATTGATGCAAATATGATCTATCTGGTTCTCTGTGGTGTGGTCCGGTGAGATCCATGTAGCTTTGTGTATACGTTTGTGTGGAAATATTGTACCGCCTATGACCAATTTATTGAATGCACACAGATTTGCAAATCTTTCCCCGTTTTCGTTTCTCTCTCCCAGTCCATGTAGTCCCATGATGTCTTCATATCCGGTGTTGTCCATTCCGACTTTGGCGTTTAGATCTCCCATCAGAATGGTGAGGTCCTTTCTTGGGCACTTCTCTATGATTGATTGCAGCCTCTCATAGAATTGATCTTTAACTTTGTCGTTGCTATCATTGGTGGGTGCATAACACTGGATAATGTTCATTGTGATCCCCTCCTTCTTTGTTTTGAATGATGCTTTGATGATTCTGGATCCGTGAGATTCCCATCCTACAAGTGCATTTTGTGCTACTTTGGACAGCATTAGAGCAACTCCCTGAGTGTGTGGAGCATTTTCCTCTTTGTGACCGGAGTATAGCAGCATCTCTCTCATATTTAGCCTTTGTTGTCCAGCTTGGGTCCAATGGGTTTCACTGATTCCCAGCACTGTCAAGTTGTATCTCCTCATTTCCGTTGCTATTTGACTGGTCTTCCCGGTCTCCCACATTGTCCGGACGTTCCATGTACCTATAAAAATTGTTGCTCTGGTTGTTAGAAGGGGCATCGGCCTCGTTGCTTCCGAAGGAACTCGGCTTTCACCATGAAGCGTCATATTACCTCTAACTCCCAGGGCAGAGTTTAAATGGTTTGAGTTATTTTTTCTGGTTAGCGTTTTTTTAGTGAGTTAGTTTTCTGCGGGATGGAGACTCTAACCTCATGCCCAACCCTCCTCCTTTATCCGGGCTTGGGACCGGCAGTAGCCCCCCGAAAGAGACTCCAGGCGGAGTTAATCTTTATTTTACTGCCTAGCTAAATTTTCTAGATTTCCAACACATTAAACAGCTGTTATACGGAATCCCATGAAAAGTTGTTAACATAAATTTGTCCTTTTGGTGACAAAAGAAAAGTGTGTTTGTTTTTTGTTCCTTCTATATAGCTTTTGAAAGTCCTATAGATACAGAGTCTACCAAATTCGTCTTAATGGATAATCTTATTAGTACTGTATTGGTGGATTCATTAAAAAAACTGGAGGTGTTTGTTTAAATCATCATTCAAAACTATGATATCATTAATTGAAATACCTACATTTCTACATTCTAAATATTACCTTAGGAATTCTCGTATGTTAAATAAGTCATAACAGTGCTAAAATCATAGTCCGAAATAACTGTATGTATGTTCTAAATAACAATGCACACTGTCACTGTACGTAGTTTGGTTGTAAAAATTAAGCCTAAGAAGGCCTATTCTGTATATAGTTTGTTAGTAATTTAACGAGAACGCGAACCGCTTGAAAAAAAACAAGTATTACAGAAGTACTTCTAGATGTTATTGCGACCTAACAAAACCGTTCACGGGAATATTACGTCAACACTATAGTATTCGGTGAGATAACTAGTCGGGAATCGTACAAACCTATAAGTTACGTAAGTCTTTACGGCCCTAAATGTCCTAGCCAGCATTAAATTAATATCTATAGAGTTTTATTAAAACGTGAGGTCACCGTTTACCGTAAACTTTGGGAACACACCTGAAGATCTTCTAGGTGTTGAAATATATTTCTCAAAATTTTAGTGATCAGTAAGAGCAATCAAGTTGGAATGTGACAGAATCTAACTGATGGGATTTGTTGAAGATCACGAATGATTTGGGATGAACAATATGAAACATAAGATTGTAACCCAGAAATTTAATGGTATTGTTATATCCAAACGAAGAATAGATTAATGGTACCTGTGTAGTGAAATAAAACACCAGTGGGGACAATCCAATGTATTTAACAACCAATTATAGAACTAGTTAGTAAAATCAAACAACCATGTATTTAATCGTTAATTTGCAAATTGTTCATCAGTTGTCTCAAATCACTCAGAATCCCCTTGTTCTTGCATTTTCATACAAATTGCCTTTTGTTTTCATTCTTTAATGTTCGATCTTCTTATCTCTCTGCCGCCAGACATTCTGTTCAGTGCTCACGTCATATACTACTTATGTCTACATAAGTAGCACACACCACACCTGTTAGGAATTATTTATGGACTATTATTACAAATATTTTTATTGGATAATTATTAAATAACTAAATTATATATATTCCTTTTGTCATAAGCTTTCATTTGACTTATTGGCTACTATTATACGATTTACTGTTCTTCATTTATTCCTAATCTGTTAGTTATGGTCTCCTATATACACAGTCCCTTTAAGCATGATCTTGAATATTTATTATTTTTCATTTCATGGTGTGATGAGGTCTGGTCTGCTTGTATATCAACAACGTATATCTCAAATATATTATTCATACAGTGGAGGCGGATATTGTGTTCTGGATTCAAGGCTCAGGACTAGGTAGGGAGCTACTATGTCAAGGGCCAATAAGGATTCAGAGTTGTCTCAAAGCTGCTAGTGACGGTTGACATGCCTTCGGTTTAGAACAGAAACAAGGTCATAGAAGTCGGTATTCTGGCTAGTGATTTTGTCACATAATATTTGGCGGGCTATAGGACAAAACAGGTATCTTACTCTGTAAGATTTTGAATGACCCGTATTAAATTCCACGTAGCGTTAAGAGTGTGCACCTTTGAAGAGTGCTTGTCAAGATGAAACTAGTGTCTATCGCATCCTAGTCATTGGTGTCAGACTATAGAAAACGTTCTGTGTGTTTAAGAAAACATGTTGTTCATGTAAACAGTAGAAGTGCTTTTTAAACCAACATATGCTATACGCAAATGGAATAGCCAAATATCTGAACTGACAAATTATTTTACAACACTGTCTTTTGATTTGGATCGTCATAGGACAAAGAATAAGTAATTGGCAAACTTGTTTGAAAACCAACTAGATGTAAAATAGCCCAAATCATTCATCAGGTTTGTTCAATGTTTAATTAGTGTTCAAGAACTTCAAACCTAAGATAGCTGTTTTACAGAATGCGCATATTTTGGGTTATTATGACGTTCACCAGTTGTACAACTCTTCGTAAATTATGTCACGCTGTTCGGAAAAGTTTTTCCACTACTTTAATTTTTTCTTGTGGTTTATTCTAAAATACTGGAAACCATGATCATGACATAACGTCCAGAACTTACTACTGTAAGATAATACTTCACAGAAACGAAGTTGTATAATCTTCAAAGCCGAACATTCTGCTTCCAGATTAGTATTAGTGTTTACGTTGTGAGTTGATGCATGCTGATTTTCAGCGCTCTTTTGTGGATTTGTTTTGATTGCAGTCCTGAGGTCAAGTTTCGAAGGAATTTACCATTTTCTTTTTAAAATTAAACAGCATGTATGTTGAAGTTAAATTCAAAATGCTCGATATATTTCCATCCATAACATAGACTACTTTCTGTTTATTTAATTTTGGTTTCCAGATGGATTCATGGTTGAAGGTGATGTATGTGTGACTCATTGCTCTACAGGTAGTATGAGTACAGATGGACGTGTATGTCTTCCATGTCAAGATAAATGTCCAAAATGTCAGTTTTTTTCTTTTTTTTTGTAGTAATTTTATAGACAAATACTATTTTACAAATGGATATTTGATGAATTAGTACCACCCACCTTCAAATAGAATGTTTGTTTATTTATAGTGAACACTATTTGCTTTTAAAACGGATTATTTAGTTGTTTTCATGTCGTAAAAATATTAATCGAAATTACAGTTAATAAATGATAATAAAATCACAAAATACTAGGATAAATGTTTAATTACTCGACTTAATGTGACTTAAATTGAGTAAATGAAGCATTAGAAAGTAGAAGGTATTCTGTGGTAATCACTATATCTTCAAGTGGTATAGTTCTATCCTAGAAACAAATTAAAAAAAACTGTCTGAATGCACAATCATTTACTCCAATTGGTAATATTGTGAACAGTTTGAGATGACGCTTAAAGCCTCAGACTTGAAGTATGATTTATTTCAAGTAGACTTCAAGAAAAGATACCAAGCATACTACACTTTTCGTCCAATATGCAATATTACAAATTTAAATGGAAAGGAAAATTAACGACGTACTCCGACTTTAACATATTTCCTAGAAACATTAAGAATACAAATAATAAATTAGACGAACAAGCCACAGTTGGTAAATAACCGAACTAAAAAGCTGCATCAAAATTTACAGTACAAATAGAGTGAGAACTCTTCTCAGATAGTGTATAACTAATCAAAACTTTTTAATCAATCGATATCTAGAAAGGTTGTTAAAATTTAAATCTGCTGATTACTAAACGGATTCCAAATAAACTTGAGAAGATAAACCAAAAAAGTAGCCTTCATGATTCATAAAGTTTACAGAGTGTAAACAAATTATTAGTATACCATGGAATAGGCTTGTAGGTGCAGTTATATTGATATTACAAGTGATGCTAACTCTTAAATATGTCATAGTACATGGTCAACATTCACTGTTTATTTCCCATTACATTTGTAAATTTCTTTTATTAAAAAATAAAAAGGTTTTGCTTAGTATATATTTGCATTATACATCTATGAATCTACACTAATATGTTTTATCGAATATGGAGAAAATTCGTTTTGATTTTATAACGGTCATTTAAATTATTCAACCAAAATTTACATTTTACATTTATATATTTTCCAATATGCATTGTATAACAACCACAGTAAAAGCATTCCTTCTTGAAATTTCAACGCCTACAGCTAGATTTAGTAGTTACACATACTATATGTGTACCACCCAACGTAATGCTATAATCCTGTATTTAGCATATGAGCAAACACTTCCTAAACGATAACTAAATCTTATCAATAGAAGTTGAAACAAACGAAATACATTGCGCATTGCTGAGGAGTCTCACAGTAGGACGAAATGGCTGTCTAGTGCTTCCAGCTATTCCATGGTGGTCTAGCTTCAATTCACTCATGAACCCAACTATTAAATACATTAAACTCACTAGCTATATTCTTAGATTGAGTCTGAAGAACATAAAAACTAAAATGTCAGTTTGACGTAAATAAATTTCAATTACATTATAGATACATTTATATGAAGTTAACAATGAAACAAATAAAGGACTTTCAAAAACAGCGAAATAAGATTTCATATTAGTGCGTTTTTAAAATTATGGTTTGTATTGTATTATTTTGCTAACAACGTGAATACTCAAGAGATATAAAGTGAAATAAATTATTTAATTGAAAATCAAAAGCCAGACTATAGACAACCTATATATTAAAATTATGTAACAACAATAACGACACGTTTTTCGCTTATAAGAGCCAAACATTTTGTTTTTTCATCAGTGAGTGATCTTCAAGAAGAAAGGATAGTTTGATCGCCTAACTGTAAAAGAAAGATACGCTTTTAAACAACTGCTAATCCAAATTAATTACCGAAATGAATAGCCAAATTTAAGGTAAATGGATATCATTTAGTTACACGAGACTACTATTTTATAGAATATTAAAATATAATAACCGTGTGCCTATCACTATATATAACGAGGTGTGTCTCAGATGCCATGCTCTTTATACATCGTTATATTTTGTTGTTTAACTACGATTATAGTTGAATTTACCTATCTAATGTGCATCTATTCAAACTAGAAAATTGTTGAGGCTAATGAAACTTATCACAACCAGACTCAAAACTATGACACGTATCTAAACGTATTTCGAATGTTTCAAGAAATATCAGTTATCAGTATGGGGTTGTGGAAATTGTTGAGTTTCACGGAAATCATGAACCGATCAATGTTAGATCATCTTTGATAACCTGGAAGCACTAAACGGCAGTTTCGTCCTAGTATGGTCTAAACTTTAAGCGTTCGCGCGTAAGGATGACGGTTTGATTCCCGAATGCGGAGTCGTGGATGCTCTCTGCTGCATAGACCCATACTAGGACGAAACAGCCATCCACTACTTCCAAGTTTTTAATGGTGGTCTGAAATTCATCGGTTCATGAACTCATTGAAAGATCAGTCAAATAAAGTGAGGTAGTTAACGGTAATGTCTAACAGTTCCCTTTTTTATAACCCATTAGAATTCCATCTGTACTGACAATGAAGTCCATAAGTATTTGTTTATAAATATCAGTTTTAAATTGTGCCAGTATAATTTAAAGTTCACCTTTAAGAAATATTAACTATTATTGCATAATTTATACATAAATTCACGCATCTCGTTCATTTATGCATTGTCTTCGTTTTCCTATTAAGCCTGTAAAATCACTGATAAGGAAACAAAAAATGGACGTAAAATGAGTAATTTTGATTTAAGAAATTTAAATCAATTAATTAACTGTACTATCCTGGAAGGTAATTTGATCCTAACCAAAGAATCGTTCAACCCAAGGTTGGTTATTGTCTTCTTGTGTTGATTTCATATTATTTTATTTAAAAGAAATAAAATTGTCAAGACTTATGTAAACCATTTCAAGGTAATGTAGATGGGTGATCTAGATGATTATTGTGAGCATTGATCCAATCTAATTGCCGTAGTATTTTTTCTGTCTGACAACTTCTAAACAGTACTGTTGTGGCGTGTGCTACTTATGTAGACATAAGTAGTATATGACGTGAGCACTGAACAGAATGTCTGGCGGCAGAGAGATAAGAAGATTGAACATTAAAGAATGAAGACAAGAGGCAATTTGTATGAAAATGCAAGAACAAGGGAATTCTGAGTGATTCGAGACAATTGATGAACAATTTGCAAATTAACGATTAAATACATGGTTGTTTGATTTTACTAACTAGTTCTGTAATTTGTTGTGGATCACATTCGGTTGTGCGCACCAGTGTTCTGTTCAGTACACTGTGAACACGTCAGTAACGTAGAATACAGGTGGAGTTTCCTACTTATTTTCAAACAAAAATACTAGGCATATGCTTGAACCAATAATCTTTCTACGTTTTAGACTAAACCTTTTTGAGCACTAACTTCGGTAGAACATTAAATCAGCTGGAGAATTAGGACACTAGTTTGGCTATTTTAATATTGACATGCCACATACTTGCCTCAGAAATGACCCAAAAGTAAATGAATTAATTCTAATTAGAGCGTTTATGGAACAATCGGAGTTTGTAGACAAAAAGATGGAGACAAACTATATGTTGGTGACATGAGCTACAGAACACAAATAAAAATGACTTCAGGTTTTATTTTACTCCTCATGGCCGAAAAGCTACCATTTGTTAAGCTCCACATTATCTCTTTGTTGATATCTAGGGCTGGATTTTAGCAAGTCTCTTATGACAGACGTCCATCCTAGTCCTTATTACGATTTTTAGCGTATATGGACTATGGCTACCGTACTCGTTGAACGAAATAAAGACAATTTGAACTCTGTAGTTAAGTGGGTAATGCATCAGGATTTAAACTCTCAGTGTGATTACTTATATCAGAATACATGTACATCCAGCTACCGAGTTCCAAATGAAATAAAACGGATAACTTGGATTCCTTATACTAGTCACCATCCGAATATACAAATGAAACTTCATTCGGAAACTTGAAAGTAAGTTATTCTGAAACTAAACTTCGAGCGAATGCAAAGAAAATAGTGCAATACTTTGATTATCAACATTAGCTAAACAAGTAATAATTCCAGTTCCATAATTTTCATAGGAAATTTGAAGTGCAAACATTTTTCCACTTCCACTGACTTTTTGTATACTTACTTACTTAATTACTCCTGTTACTCCTCGTGAAGGAGCATAGGCCGCTCACCAGCATTATCCATCCAACCCTGTCCTGGGCAATCCTTTCCAGCTCTTTCCAGTTCTTATTCATCCTTTTCATATCTGATTCTATTTCCCGACGTAATGTGTTCTTTGGCCTTCTTCTTTTCCGCTTTCCTTCAGGAATCCAAGTTAGGGCTTGCCTCGTGATGCAGTTTGATGATTTCCTCAATATATGTCCTATCCATTTCCACCATCTTTTCCTAATTTCCTCTTCAGCTGGAAGTTGGTTTGTTCTCTCCCACAGGAGGCTGTTGCTGATAGTATTCGGCCAATGGATGTTGAGTATCATGCGTAGACAGCTATTTATAAATACTTGTACTTTCCGTATACGTAAAATATTTCATCTACCAGTTTTTAAATATAAATTTCTTCTGTTGTTTGCATGCTCGCATATGACTTAATTATAGTGCTCGATTAGAGTAATCGGAACTTGTAAAGTACGACTCGGAACTACTACTAATACTATTATTATTATTATTACTTCAAATTTCTATTCTCCATAAAACAATTGGGACAAATTACGAAACTACATGATGAATACTTCAAAGGAAACGAAAATTCAAATACCTGGTTACAATGCATCGGAAATAATTAGGCTTAAAACATTTAAGAAAAGTCTCTTATTTCTGCAAAGTTTAGCTACAATAGATCATGTATTCTAATCATTTAGTTCTTTTTTCCTAAACTGTTACACAAAAATATGTGATATTTTTTAAATCTACAAAAATTTTCATACTTAATACAGTTCTGCATTCCAATGAATCGAAATATGTACACTTGCCTTGTTTAAATGATTAATACCATAGTTATAATTTGTAAACAGCTAAAGAGAATCCATGAAATAAATGAATCCATATTATTCTGGTACGAAATTTGTTCTTTCTTTATCCAAGTTTATAAATGAGAAAAACTGTATGAAGAAGTGTTGAGTCTGATGTTACAATAAACGATTTATAATATTTAAGAATAACAAAATTTTCGAAATAGATATTTTGCGTTATATACTGAGATAGGTAAACTACTTTGGGAACCATAAATTTTGTCGTTAGATGTCTATAAATAGTATCAAATTGTACTAATTACTTATGGGTTTATTTATTGTACTTTGTGAACATGTTGTTAAGTATTGAAAAGTTTGAAACAGCAGATGGCTGTCATTATATTATTCCCAGATATTTCTTCTTTTATTTTCTTAGTTCTGATCTGACTGATCATATCCCAATCACAGATCACCGTCAATTATGGGCTTTACATTCATTAAGAGAAATAACTGGTTATATATATTTAGACTTGGAATTACTTGGCGATAGTCTGAGAAATTTTAGCTTCCTTGAAAATCTTGTGAAAGTCAGTGGTTATCGTAAGTTCATTTACATATTTCATCTAAACATATTCCTTTATAACATATATTTTATGTGGTAGAGATTTGTAGCTCATGTGGATGATTTTTAGGGAGTTCTCTGAGCTGGTTGGTTTGTTCGTGGAGCTTTCATTTATCTAATGTCTAGTTTCTCTTAGAAATCGTTAGAAATAGTGTCTAGAACTTTATTTTTTAAATCAGTAAGTCGTGCACGAATTATGATGTGGCACAGATTTGTATCACTATGTAACGTGTTAGCTTGATTACATAATCCATAGCACCAATGTTTCAAGGATTCTGCCAATCTTTCAATATTTAACATGTCTATATCTAACTGCATACTCCACTATCAAATGAGCAAATAGAGAGATTCGTTCGTACCTTAAGATGAGAAACTGTGTAGACATGGAGAAATGTACAACTGAAGAAGTCATCTAACAATTCCTGCCCGTACATTGAAGCACACCAAACCCAGATACGATTGTGGGGGTTTGGTGAGTGGATTTTCTGATGGGTCAGAATCTACAAATAGAACTTGATGTTGTGGACCAGACACTTTATTAAGGCTTTATGTTCCATGTACCACTTTATGATTGCTATTGCTTTTACTATCATTATTATAACTATCAGTCACACATAGCATTCATAAATATGAATCACAGAATTAAACAGAATGCAGAACAAGTAGTCGTATCTTACTTTTCAAAAATTGGGTGGCCGACCTCAAAAGCAAGTTTTTCAAACAATAATATTTGCAAAGATAACTGATTTCATTGTTCGTCAGTGTTCTCGTGAATTATCTCAAGTGGATAATAAAATAAATTAGTCTTGCTGAGTTATACTACTCTTTACTAAAAAAGTAGTGTTTTCTCATTAGAAGTTTATACTTTCTGGTAAGTGAAAAACGAAAAAAATTGTTTAAACCAAGGTTTCGCTACTTCATGCTAATAGGTTCATTAAAGTAATGATAGTGTTGGCTGTTTTTTCGCGCACTGTATAATGTAAATCTCTATCAGTCATAGATATTATTTACCCAACACCCAGATTTCCAAGCTATTCAATATGAATTCAGTTTGGACACATACATTCGTATGTCTTCGTTTTAAGAAGTTTGGTAAAGTGCTTGTTACAAGCATGGCAACCGTACAGTAAGCAGAAAAAATCCCAACATACACTCAACAATCCCTTTAAGATTTCGTTTATCAGTCTAATAAGGAAATTATATAGATGCACGAACTTTACTACCTCTCTGTTCTATTTATATTCCAGTACCTTCTGCACGAGTGAGTATAATGATTATAAATAGTAAGGCGCACTTTCCTGGATTAAGAAGCCTTCGACAGGTTCCACATGGAAGAGTTATATTTCATCAGAACCCAAACTTGTGTTATTTATCCTCACTGCCTTGGACTAATTCAGGTAAATTTGGACCATGGGTTTTTATGGTTTCATGACACAGATTAGCTTTAAAAAATGGTTAGGAATAAGTTTGCTTACATATAGGCATGATATATTACGTCATTAAATCATGAAAACAATTAGTAATAGGTTATTTTGGTAATGATCAGTGATAACTGATAACTTTCCTTAGGATATCAGTTAGTCACTTTCATCACTATCCAAAGTAAATAAATGATTAAATGGATTGTAATATCGATTTCTGAAACCCACCTACCTCGAAGAAAAGCTAATTATCACAGCCTTTTACAATTGCGAAACCCTTTCAAGCATTTCTGGTTTATTATATTGACTTGTTCTTGAATTTATTGTTTCTTAAAAATGATCCAGTTTTCATTTCACTTATTTGGATCAATCAAACTTGAGACGATTAAGTTAGCGACTTAACAATTGTCGATACAACAAAATCCTTTGGTTCAAATTAATATTACAGATTGAAACCAAACTGGAATCATATGGTCGTATGAGCATCCTGAAATCATGATCCTTTTCACAGAATTGCATTCATAAATAGGTTTATTAAAATTGGCAAGTCATAATGCATTCATAGTTCATATTTTTAAGAATTTAGTGTTGCTTTTTGTTTATGAATATTTTTACGGTCTAAGATTAAGGAATTGGAACAGTTTATATAATCTAATTAGACTGAATGATCTTAATATTGTTATATGACCTAGTTATTTTATGTGTACATTCAGCTTGATATTGACCTGGAGCAACACGTTTTACAAAATGCCGACTTAGATTCATATTGTAATTAAACCATATTCAGATAACATTAAACAAGAGGATTTGGGGATTCGTACATTTCACTAGGACTAACATTTGTGATACTTTATCCTCAGAGTTTCTGATAAATATAAGTTGAACTTTCCAAATCACTTGAGTACTAAACGTTCAAAACCTATCTCCAACCTATCTTAGGAAATCTCTGCCTGTGATTAAAACTTTAAACTGTAGACCTCTTAACATAAATACCATTATACTCAGCTAATAAATCGGTGCTTACTTGATGAGGTCATGACTTATATTAACGATCAAATATCACTTACATTTATATAATAATCTTCGTTGAGGATATTTCCAGCTATAATAATAGGCTCACACAATATGAGTTGGGTACACATGATAATAATATGAGACATAGGATTATTATCATTATTGTATGGGTTAAATTATAATCTAGAAGTGAGTCAATAAGAATAGTAAACATTACTTCCATGTTTTTCAGCAAAGTTCACAAAGGAGTAAACTATCTTACGTCACAAAAAGTGTTTAATAAAATAACTCCGTATAGGGCTCAGAATATTTAAAAATTAAAAGAACATTCTTATTATAATATAGTCAAAATGACAATGTTCAACTGTCAGATGCTCACCTTTTTCTATTATATCGTAAATATGACTTCAAAACTGAGTTTGTTCTTACAGTAAAATGCCAAATAAATAAATATTAGTGGTTAATTGAATAATAGGTGAGCTGAAAATTAGGAATGGTAAAATGACTAACGATTTCCGTGCATGGTTTATGCATATCATTGTCTTATAACTTCATCTCCCTTATTCTTTAACGAGTTAGTAACATTAATTTTGTTGGCGGTGATGAGGTTTCTATGATAATATTCATGGGTATGAGGATTTAAAAAATGATATATTCGCAACCTGACTGATGAAATAATAAGTCTTGAATCACTAATACACCTCTTCAAACCGATTACTAGACTGGGACAAATTTTATTACTTCTGTTGTAAAGTACTTTTGATATATACAGACACTGCACAATGGCTGAAAACGGGTTCAAAATGTCAAAATCATTTTAAATTTTTTATTTGCTCCTCTCCGTATCATATTGTCACCATTATATTTAACAAAAAGATTTAAAATTCGATGGTAACAAAACAAGTCGAACAAATTACCCAAAACCTCTATTTATAAAATACCTTTAATTATTTCATGAAATACCTGAACATGAAATCGCATGTATTCTGATTTTACTGCACTCGTCCTAACGTTCATATTTCTACTTTTTTAGCACACTCAAGTATCTTTAGCACACTGAATCAAACAAATTCGATGGAAATTACTGTTATTGATGGTCCAAGTGACAACTATTGTGGTAAGATCATTTTGATACGAATAAATTATACTTCACATTCATTGTCCTTGTGATTAACACGATTCGGTTTTTAAAATTTTATGTTCACATATGTTAAGTTTCTTATGACTGATTCGTTGGATTATTACGTTAAAACTTATTGTATGCCTCATGTTACGTGAATTTTAAACAAAATCCTAGAGAATACTGTCAAATGCCAACTTCATTCACATATGAAAACTTTGTTTTTCTCATTTGGAAATCGCATTTATGTAATGACCAAATAATCTTTGTCCGTTCACAATCTCAAATCTTGCAGTGTTTTGTGCTAAACAGCATTCATCAGAATGGGTGGTCCAAGATACTACAGGTGACTAAACTTATTTAGACCCTTTGTGAAACCCTTATTCGATCGAATTATTAGTCACTGAGACATTTAGTTCTAACCACTTATTAATTGTGTCATTGGCCATAACATTTAATTTGCAGAATAATAGACTGCCTCTCAATACTAAGATGCAGTTACATATTAGTTTTCATACTTTAATAATCTAACTGAATTCTCCGATTTATTTGTGAAGATACATTACTAAAAAATGCAAATCTAATCAACTATTGATTTTAATAAATTATTAATTTATTACTTCGGTTTAGTATGGTCAAGTTTTAGTGTTACTGATTGTTGATAAGTGTCCAAATTATGCTTATTGATAGTATGAGGGTAACTTAATAAATATTGTTACGGACATTTAAAATGCACTTATCTTGACGATTACTATGTATCTATGTATATTATTATTATTTATTTGGGCATATAAACAACAGTTCAAGGGGACACCAAATACATATGTGCCACACAATACGAATGTGGTTGTAAAGAGATAGAGAATGAAGGGTGAGTATAATAAAAGAAGAGTGACAATAAGCATAAATTAGTTTATAGGAGTGAAATAATATGAATATTAATGAGAGAAGCAGTTCACTTGAGAAAAACGTAACCAGATAGAATTTTTTCGTTTAAAGAAATGGCTCGCACTTTTATCAAGAAAGTTACATCAAAATCGTCACTTACTTTTATTCTCAGCCATTTCTGATAACGTCTCTAGCCACTGTCCTGAAATATCTCTAGGCCCCCAACCAGGGGATGATGAAGGACCAATAGATACCAGTCCTGTACAGCTTTCTTTCATACCATGACACCATGTCAATACTGAACACCTCTCCGCTTTTTCAGTCAGTCCTAGTGTCGGCAAATAATGCACGATGTGAAATTTTATGGGACGAAATTCGTAAGACATGTTCAAGCCACTGAAGTCGGTGTTTCAAGATGGTGTCCGAACATACGTTTCCGAACCTCCTCATTACTAACATGGTGTTACCACTCGATATCAGCAATCGTTCGGAGACAACGATGATCAAAAACAGAGTCGTCTAACATCAACTCAGAGGGGCTAGATTTCACAAGCATATAGCAAAACTACATCCACCAAAGCTGTTTCCAGGACGTCATTGATAACAAAATTGAGGAGGAATGGTGAAATTATGAGACCCTGCTTAACCCCACTACTTGAATGGGACGTGGATGGAGGTGATTGTATGTCTTCACTCTGCATGATGTGTTAACATATAGAGCCTCCAATATTTGAATAAACTTCTCAGGCACATTCTTTTCCAATAGACAATCCCAGATAAAGTCCTATCAAATGAATCAAAGTAGGACCTGATCTTAAGAAACACAACTATTGTTTGCTTTCAATAAGTATCGAGATGTTATAACATTTAGAGGAGGGTTAAGATATGATCAAAGCACCATCAACCAGAGAGAAAACAAACTTGCTCATCGCGAATCAGTCTTCCAGGGTCTTGAACAATCTGCGAAATATGGCAGAAGCTGATAGCTTGGACGCTATCAGAAGTAAACTTATATCCTGTTGATTGTTGCAGAAATGACGTGAACTCTTTTTGGAATTAGAGATAACTATTGACCGATTTCAGGAGGTTGGTAAACTCTCTAATAACTCAGTCGGCTCCTTAACCACAAGGTCAGCACCATTAATAAAAAATGCCGGTGGTAAGTCATCTAGACCCGGTGACTTGTGGCGCCTCAAGTGTTAGAACTCCTTGCGGACTTCCACCACGTTAGGCGCATCAGTCATCATCGGCCATGGAGAGCAGGACAGTCTGATGGATGTCACCGGAGCAGCATACTAGTTGATCTGCTCTTAGAAAAACTCGATCCATCGTCCAAGACGTCGGTAGACGTTAATGATTGTCATCCCATCGGCTTCACAGATTGTTTCATCCACACCAGACTTCTTGCTGCCAGTGAGTCGGATGAGTTGACAGAGCTTACAGAAGCGGCTGTTGTTTCCAACTCGTTAGCATGTCGCGACCACCAGACTTCTCCGTCCTTACTCTAGTTCTGCATAATTTCATTACTTCACAAACTGGCGGTCACCCAGAGTTTATGTTCATTGTATATAACTCTTGCAGTGTATTATTCTGTTAGAAATATATTAAAATCTCGTGAGGCACTGAAATCATCATGAGATATTTCACAGAATAAAAAACGTATACATTACAAAATGTTTTTTCACTTAGCTGATTTACATATACAGCATTAAGTGTAAAAGCCAAGTGTACCATTTAACTGCTTGGGGATGAAAAACAATTAGATTGATTTTTAAACATCAACCTGATGATAAACGTCTTAACTACTGACTAAAATTTATGTTAAAATTTTCTGTCGTTATTCCATTACAGGTTTTGTGTCTTTGGCTCGATATGTAGGTAGACTTTGATTTCAAAACACAGATAGGAATAGATTATTCTCTTTTGATTTAAACTGAGCTTGCTATTTCTATAGTGCTTCTACTTTCTTATTGTGGTTTTATTATTACAAATTAGATAAGACATTGAATATTGCCTTACATTTGTTGTTATTATAGAATCTCTTAACTACGTGTGTCATCCTGCATGCAAGAAGGAGTATGGATGCTGGGGACCAGGACCAGATCAGTGTGTTCGCTGCTCATACCGTAGAGCTGGATTATATACATGCGTTCAATCATGTAGTAACTTAACAGGATATATGTCTGAACAATGGGAAAAACAACTCCAACTGTCTAAAAAGAAGAATGACTATTTTGGCAATTCTCTGACTAAAAATTTTCACCTAAATTACCATACAGCAGAAACTGAAGATGTTTGTGTCCCGTGTCATCCAGAGTGCGGCAAATCCTGTACAGGACCTGGTGCTCATGAATGCATTGGATCATGTAAAACAGCTTGGGTAGGTTTAACATGACAGTTACCCATACCAAAAATTTATCTTTCTTTTGATCATCACACTATAAATATATTAAGAATACAAAATACTATTTTTGTTGTTTCCTGGCCGCTTGACTTTGGGGAGGGGAGATAGTTCCGGATAACCATACAAGAGCCCATAAGTTTATTCGCTTAATTGAAATAAGTGGAGTCAATAAATGATATAAATGAGATTACTTAATATATTTCGTTTGGTTTTTATTTTTGAATCATTGAATTTATTTAACATAGCATATGATAGTCATTCCCTTTACATTTTCATCATCATTAAAATTGAGATTGATTTGAGACAAACTTAATCCAGAATTCTCTTTATGTACTGACAGGACAACTCTCTTTTTAAACTTTTATTTTCCAATAAAAACATCTTCAGTCAGAAGGTCAGTGTGTTTCAGAATGTCATTCAAACACTTATCTAAATATGGACAGAAGAATTTGTGAGCCATGTCAAACACATTGTCATCAACGTCAGTTAACAAAACAGCCGGTGTGCACCGGTCCTGGTCGTCATCCAGGAAAAGGAGGGTGTAATAAATGCGAAAAATTTGTTGTACAATCGCCTTTCAATCAGATGAATACGGAAATATCAGGTTAGTTTAATTTATACTAGATAGTTTTGTTACCTAATATTTCTGAACAATATACATGTGAATGAATGATAATTTTTCCATTAACTGAACATTTATCTCAATAGTTTTTAAAGAGTTTCAGCTTGTGTCATGAACCAATACTAGTTGATAACCATTTGAAAGAATAACATATGATACTAAATTTAAGACCATAGCTACAATATTATTTATATTTCTTCTAATCTACTGATCTAACTTAAGACTGTTTTAAGCATTATCTGAAGCAGAATCTGAAGATAATTTTTATTAAATTCGAACTGTAATCATACCATAGATTGTGCTTTTCTATTCAATGACAATTCAATATGCTAATTGCTAAGTCACTTGAAAAGATTAGTACTTATGTGGTGTTTGCTATTGACGTTGATAGATATAAGTAGTATGTATCATCAATCGAAAGTGAAATACCTGACAGCAGATTAAGAAAATCGATGAAGAGAGGACAAGAACAGTGAAAGATGGCTATGGAAATGAAGAAACAGTAAAGTCTGAGATGATTGATTGACATTTTGCAAATTAAGTATTGACTGTATGGTTTTCAGATTTTACTAAGATGTTCTGTAATTCGATTGCCCCCACTTATGTTCTTGTTCCCTACACTTTGATTATTTCAATAAATAATTCTCTAATTGCTACATCTTCAGAAAAATAATAAACACATGCAAAAAACTTTATTCAAAATGGTGGCTGGTTGTACAAATGATGAATTGTTTACTCTACTGAAACGTTCATTACCTTATTAAAGAATTTAATACAAATATATTTGTGGGTTATTTTAAAAATTCGCAGCATTTTTTCCATATTCTATTTCTTTTACAAAGATTTATCATCCTCGCTTACAACAATTAGCTTGCTATGCATCAGAGGAGACTGTCCACCAGGAACTTATTTAACAACTGAAGTGGTTCAACCGAACACTTTGTTTGCGAAGTATGCTGAAATATTCACAAGTGTTGCTGCAGTATGTCGATCATGTCATCCAAGGTGCCCAATATGCACAGCATATAGCCTCCTAAGAGCTAATGAACAACGTTTAGGATGCATGAAATGTAGTGGATTTTGGCTGAGAGATGCTTGCGTGGAACACTGTCCTGTAGGTAAGTTGTGCAAATGTCTCCTTCATATTTTATAATACTACATTGGTTGAGATAGTGGAGAAGATTTGTAGTTCGGGTGGATAATTTTGGTGAAGTTTTGTTTTCCAAGCTTGATGATTTAGTCGTGGGGTTTTCGTTGTTCTTATGAACAATATCATCAACTTCAGGTAGAAGTAGACTTCACTTTATCTTAATGATGTTGGATTGAAGTTGTTCGGAAGAATAATGAAGGCTCCAAGAATAGACCATACAGCTCAGAGAACGGAACTCTACTAAAAAGGACACCGGATGAATCAGCATTCCGAAAAATCCTCAGGGATTGAGTTCTTATTCTTATTAAAACCTTTCTAAACGATGAAAGCATCTTTAATATTACAGTATAAATTATATATTTTTAAAATCTTGAATAGATTATGCCTGACTCCCTAAGGAGATATTCCAAGTAGGTTGGATGCTAACTCTATTTTTCTGTCCCTGTGGCTCACTTGATTTGCAGATTTTTATAAGCAGCGGGATTATTAGAATGTTTTATCTAGCCTCCTTATTTTACGAAATAAATTTGTATTAAATTTTCTAATTTTCACTGGAGATGTTTTTACAAACATGATTGCCTTTTTAATGTCATCTATAAACTCTGAGCTCGACTTTTGTGAAATTGTTTGTTTAAATGTGGACAAAATTATGATAAAATACACATTACTGTACTTTAGATTCAATTCAAGAAAATAGTTTATAAGCTTTGAAGTTTATTAATAACTTTGTCCTCTTATTCATAAAGAGCAAACCTACGCTATATGGATTAACACTAATCACAATGTATCCGGAAATTCTTCAGAAAAGCATTTAAATTTAAAAGACGTCAATTTGAAATACAATGGTATTTATGTGCGACATTTAAATGGACAGTGTTTAGCCTGTCATGAGCAATGTCATGCTGGATGTTGGGGTCCTGGACCGGATCAGTGCAACCATTGTCTTAACGTTAAAGTACCTATCCGATTTATATCTAGTAATCTTACTAAAGTTTACGGACTGGACCACTTTTCAGGAGACGATCTATCAGTAAGTTTAATTGCATAAGTAAGGTTTTTTTATTTTAATGTTGTTTAAAATGTTTAACTTTTTTTGTGTGTAACTCTGCATCACTGAGTTTTAGTGCGATGCGGCTTCTTATTTGTTGATATTTGAACTAGTAATCAACTTCTTGAAATCAGAAAAATTATGAACTGCGAAGATGCATTCATCTTAGAGAAATAAAGATAAAAAGTGATTGTAAATTCATCGTATTATGTGAGCTAATTCTTCGAAGAATAAAATAATCAATACAGTACGCTCATATATTATATTACATCCAGAAAATCTTGTTATTGTTACTATCCAAATATAAGAGCAATAACTAAGAACAGTTGTTTTTTAAAGGATTTCAAAAGCGATGTAGTACTACAGTATGATAATGAATTTCAGTATCGTGATATTTCCATATTTATCTGTTGTCATTTCATAAGCTTTTAGTTTATGAATGATTTATTGTTTAAGAGTTTAACAATTTGTAAAATCATTTTAAAATAGTTTGGATTTAATTAATATGAACTCTCAGTGGAAAACTGTACCTGTAGACAAAAACTAACGACTGCTTTTCTGATTTTCTTTCTGAAAATTACTTCATATAACTTAAAAAAATCACTCTAGCTTTATCGAACTAGGTATATGTGACAGATTTTGAATAATATCTTTATTTTTTTAAAGATGTCAACTCCAGTAACCTTGTGATACCCATCCAATAACATTGTTCTCACATTAAATTCATTCTTGAGATCAAAATGAATAAAAAATTGATTTTAGGTTTTCTAGGTAAAAAGAATATCTGAGTGAGGTCCTGAGTTTAAACTTTATTCACAAAATCGTAAATCCATCATTTAGATTTTACTCAATGTTTGCATTTTGTAAAGAAGTTTCTATTATCCTGTCGGCTGAACTAGCTATCGATATGAAACAAAATAACAAAATAATATTGCAATACTTAGTTTGCTCTTTAGTGCTCAAGGGTTAAAAATCATTCTCGCGATCACGTTTTGTAGGTATTATCTTCAATTACAAGCAAACATGAATAGTGCCTAGCAGTGAAATCTAGGACACGCGTCTTGTCCTACTTGAAACTTGACGACTGGACGTACCTGCATCCCAGAGTTGTCGTCCATTCCAGGACTCGAACTTATTACCGTTCGCATCAAACGCTATCACGTTATCCATTTACCTACTGAGTCCTGATTCCCGCAAACTTGTACAATGTGGCGTTTCGTTCTATTTAGGACTCGTCAGCTAGATGTATCAATGTCGAGGAGATCTGCACAGGATGCACACATGACATTAAGATACTGGTCATTCACAGTCGTAAACATCAATGAGAAGATCCAAACATACAATACAAAAATGAACTATTATCTTCATTTGTTGAATTTAATTGTAATTTTATTTCACGCCGATGACTTTTTAGATTTATATTATTTATCAGTAGGTTTCTACTCACCTTCAGGCTGACTGTAGCAAATTCAATAAAGACTGAAGATTCAGGTATAAATATCTCCCACAGTAATTATAGTCATTCAGCAGGAATACAGTGACTAATCTTTTTAAAATCATGTTCAATACAACAGCAGTAAATGTAATATTCAGGTCACCTAGTAAATCATTTTGTATTGATCAAGTTTTAAAAGATCTTATCATAGCACGTGGAAAAAACCATATTATCTGGCAGATTTAAAAAAAAGACGTAATACTTTGTGACCAATAAAATGAATTGTTCCATATGATCAGGTCGCAAAAAAGGACCGTAAGTAAAATTAGAGAGCGGTGTCTATATGATCGAAAAGATATTGTTTCTGTTTTATAAATATGATTCCATATAAGTTTTAATGAGGATCTTTCCCATTTGGTGAGTTGGAATTATGTGTATAGCAAAAGTAATTACTTTGATAATCACGATGTTAGGATAAGGTTTACGTCTGGTGAAGTTTCATTCTCTGAGCTAGAATTTGGTTGGGAAGCTGTCATCGTCCATCTGGACAACATCATCGACACGAACTTCAGTTGGAAGCGAGCTATTCGGATAATGTTGTCCAAAAGGACGGAAGCTTCACTATTAAACCATCCAGCTCAGAGAATAAAACACCGACAAAATCATCCACCTGAATTACTCTGTACTTTACTGATTAATTAATAGACAAGCAAAAGGTAATTATCAGCAAAATGGTTGAGCTTTATTTTCCTGGCTCAATTAGGCTGAACCGCTATTAGTTCACGAAACAATAAGATGAACTCAGTGGATGTACGTCATACATATTCCACTATTAATTATTTGATACTCTTTGTTACATATTACGGTTGGTCAATACAGCTGATTAAGATTCGTTGTTAGCGAAGTGAAAATGTATCAACAGTTATTTAGTTAGTATGTTGCTAGTAATTACTGTTTTTTATAATAACCGCTGCATCCCATATTCGATCATTAATATTCAGGGTAACATCTCATTTTAATCACAAGTGTCCAAGTTGTTGAGTGATTTTAACCTTCGGTTACAAACCTCATCGATGATCAACCAACCAAGACTACTAGGACTAGCAGGTACGTTCAGCGTTGCCACGATTCCCACAATAAACTTGTTTGCAACTACGTAGGTAGTACGGTGTTCTACAGTGCAGTATTCTACATTTTTGTGCTTTAATTTTTATTAACTAAAAACCGAAAAATCTATTCTATGGATAACTAATTATAATATGTTACAAGATGAATGCACTCGTTCTTCAGTGTCGAAGTTTTAGAATCGTGTATGCTTTGTAGCAACACAAACACCGAAATAATGGGAAAGTAAGACGATATTAATGAGAAACAAAGGCAGGTTAAGTACACATAAAATGAATTGTTATGTGGTAACAATTTATACACACCTTAAGAATAAATGAAGACTGACTTCACCTATAATGATGTGGTTGGTTAATAGCCATACTTCTATCGTTTCAGTGATTTTTTACAATGATCCTACACCTCCTTATACTACTCAGACCGGAGGCCAGGACGTACTCTCATAAACTTTTGGTTCGCACTTTTCAGACTATACTTTGGCTAATCTAAAACGAATCCAATCTTTCTGTTTTTCACCTATTGGAAAATACACATTTCTAATTATAGTAAAATGAACCCATTCGGTTTTTTATACTAGAATCCAAGTTAACTTGTGTGTACAGTTAATTATTTGTAGCCCAGTACTTATGTAACTCAGTCAGTGCAGATTCATAATTTTGTTGAGTTTTGCCTGTTTTCAACTAATTTCAAGAGTTTGACATGTTCAATAGTTGAAATATTTATATATCATACCACTAAATAATATTTCATGCATGTATTATCAAAGAAATTTGTGTAGTCCAACTACAAAATCACTAATTTAATGTGGTAAATTCATCATGTCACGGCTTAAGATTACTTGCTCAAAACCATTAGAAGTAATAAACTTGGTTGACTGATATAAAATGATAGGAAGAAGGAGAACATATCCTTCAATTTATATTTCCAGCTTGAATTTTATCTGACAATCGGTTTGTTAATCATTTCTGTTTTCATGACTATTGCCTCTTAATACTTATGAAAAAAGTGGAAATAACTGAAACGTCAATTAACAATTCCCTCTACCACACGTAAGGTAATGGATGAAAAAGTTAGACAATGAGTGGAATTTTCATTGAAATCTCACCAGGTTTTGTAGAATATCAGATATTTAATGTATTTTCATTGAAGTAACCATCAATGCACATCTGTTCGGGTTCTATGTTCATAATGTCTGTCAGTCTATTGATAGATAAGATTTTCCTCTTTATCTAAACATACTTCCTTTCTAGATTGAAGTGAACAGTTTAAATTTACATTTATACCATGGAAGATTTATTTGCTTACCACAATGTCCAAATGATTTATACAATCATATCATCAATATACCTGAAATGGAAGGTGAAACAATATGTCATCATAGTACATATTTAAGTGCTAGTGATTATGAACTGATAATGCAGGACAATGTGTATCCATTTCAATACTTTAATAGTTATCCATTTTCAAATAACAATCAACAATTGGAGCAAGAAACGTCTGCGGGAATCATCGGACTAAGAAAGTCTTCATCTTACTTTTCATCGGTTAACGGTAGTATTATGCATCGTAAACTAAAAAATGATCCAGTAATATTAATTATGATACCACTATGCATTATATTAATCGTATTTGCTGTACTAGTTTTTATATGCTATCGTTATCGTTCAAATCAACAATACATCAAAAAATATGAACACAGTCCACTGTTATTGTTGAAATTATTGTTTTGTCCACTATCATTTATTTCAAAACGTTTTGTTTCTGATATAAGCAATTATAAATATAAGAAAGGTAATCCGGTCATAAATTTATCTCCTACGAATTGTCATTACAAGAATAGAAATGATGAAAGTGGTACTGAAACTAATTTAATGCAATATCCAGGCACAGAGGAAAGTCTATTAAGAAGATCTAGTGTAACGGGTTCCCATCGATATCCAAATCAGGTACGTTTTTTACCGATTTTATTCACTGAATCATTTTTATTCGAATATAAAAGCATTTCTTAGTGTTAGGAAATATGAACCAATCGATCGTAAACTAGTGAGTCAATGGGATCATGCCCATTGTGAAACATGACAAACCTGGTTCTTTTTTACATAAGCCATCACTCTACTACCGAGTTAATCCACGATTGTATGAAGTCGAGCAATCACTAGTTGGTTGTGATGTAATGAAAACTATTCACATTAAGGAACACCCCTAAGTTAGTGTCTATCTATCCAAGATGAATATACTATAAATTTAATATATTTTTACAAGACGATATTATCTTAAAGGTGGCCTTTGAAAACAAATGATCACAACCAGCTACTTTTAGTAAAATTTCAATGGTTTATGAACCCGACTTTCAAACCTTTGTAACTTGCTTCATTTTAAACGGTTGGACAGTAATGCTATCTTTCAAACATTAACTGTGATTTAAAGTCAAGTTCAAAACATCCACCAAGTTGTTAAATGACGGTCTACCGTTCCATGATAATTCATAACGGTTATGCAGGTGGTACGCGCAGACTGAAAAAAGTAAAATAGTAGTTCGAAACGTTGATCACTCTTAAGTTTCGTTACCAAGGTTCAACTTGATAACCAAAAAAAGTGAATAATGGGCGGGTTTTTTATAATAATAAAACAACAAAATTTTTTTAATATCCCAACACGTAGAAAATTGAATTTCTGATGTTTTCTGATTCAGTATTATTCGGTTCTTCAGTCAACAAATAATCGAGCTAAAATAACATAAATTTATTGACTGACCTTATTGTACATGCTTTTTATTGTGAACTGTATTAATGTTATAAAAAATATCAACAACCAGTTTTACTGGTTTAAGAAATGAAGCCAATCCCACCATACTAAATTGAGCACACTTTATTATTTCGTGATTGATCATTTCTTCCATACTAATTAGATTGTGAACGGACAGAAAGCACCGAATCTAGGTAGATTAGTCATGATCAACCTGGATGACTTATGCTTAAATGAAAAATCTGGTCCCTTGGGGACAGGTGCATTTGGAGCAGTCTATCAAGGTATTTGGAAAGTATGCCAAACTGATTATCCAAATTTACCAAATATAAATTATGTGATTACAGCGAATAATGAAGAAGAGTTAATGCTTAAAGTTAATTCACAAAGCTCCCGCTCTTTGTTGACAACTCCTACTCAAACGAATGAAATGAACGTGGTGTCTACAAATCAAATAAATTCCAGTAATATTCGAGTGAACGAAGAGCACACGTCAGCCACAGAGCAATCATCAGTTATAAGCCAGAAGAACAACAATACTGACGAAGATACCAGTCAAACTAGTAATAGCGTTACTACAACATCTAAAGCATCGACAGAGAAATCTAAAAAGGAATACAAACTACTGTGCGTTGCTGTGAAAATTTTGAATGAAGTTCGTGGGTCGAGTGATTTACAAGCACTACTGGACGAAGCAAAGGTAAGTCTGAAGTGTTCATATCCTGGAAACTCACGGATCTCTCTCTATTTTGTCAGTTTAACATAACTTTTATCGACAGGATGATAAGTTTAAGAGCTCTTCCGTGTACTGACTTTTCCTGTCGGAACACGAAGACAATGCTCCTATGTAGATACAAATAAATGAGCAACATAATAGAAACATGCTTAAATCAATCTATAATAAAATTCTGAAGTTTGATCAGTTTTACTCTATTTTGTTGATGCAAAGCCTTATTTAATTTAAGTCTTCACTTTGCCAATACAATAAGTCAAATGTATGTTTTGAACTATATCGTCATTCAGGTTATATTTATCTTTCTTACACATCCTTTGACAATAATGAATGAATAGCCATCCTTTCTCACAATTGTCTACCTCGGTTTGTAATGACGACGAAACGTTGTAGATCAGAACGTGTTTCCTTTATCATACTGTTTACTCGAAATATTTTTTTAAGTTGAACTACTATCAATGTTTTTTGGATTTCAATTATCTGAAAGAATTGACTGTTGCATGTATCTCACATGTTAAAAATATAACAAGTGAGATCAGAAAAATAATTCTGTGTAGGAGATACATGTAAGATACACTAGTCATATATGATAAGGAGTTTCATATGGCTCAATTATTAAATAAACTCGATAACACACAGAATGATATCCTACTCACTTATGAGGAGGAATAATAATAACCGATTGCTCTTCTTAGGTAGAATTTTGACCCGAAAGGAGTATAAAACTATGAAACGATCAGTTCATGGGAAGCCATCCTAGACTGGGAAAAATCTAGACTTCCACAGGTTCTGTGCGCTGTATTCCGAGCGAGGATCGGTAAAACGCTTCCTCAACTAAACTTGACGAGTATGCATTACAAATGCACTCAAAAAAGATGAGAAACTGCAAATCCAAACGTTGATATCAGGCGTTATCCTCTGAAGGCTTTGGATCGGTGTAAAAGTCAGTTTACACCAAAACCTCCTCTTAATATTTTTTACGAAGAAAAAGGGTTTACATGTCTTTTTCTTTTAGCGGGGAATCACACAGGATAATTTTGAGATAGACTAAAAGCACCCATTGAGGATACATGCTATATTGCTGAAGTGTTTATTATTGAAATAACTAGTCCCATGAATCCATATAGATCTAGACACTGCACAAACAATTATGTCACATTTGACCGCATTGACCAATCCACATGTTTGTGTGGACACATATAAACAGGGAAAAGGAGTCGAACAATAAGATCATGTGCCTAGGTGGTCCCAGAATCAGTTGGTATCAAATGCTCTGATTAATACTGGAAGTCCATGGACATCAAAACACATAATTGAAATTATCCATAAAATTGAGATCAACAAAGTTTTTGAAACGTAGTATAGAAATTATCACGGATGAATTCTTGGTTTTATGGAAGCCTTGGCTGTTCGGAAATCCAAACCCTCTTTATGTGTATAGAAACAACTTGTCGTAACTATAAGCCTGCCACGGTGATCTTAAACCCTTTTTGTTTCCTGGTGTGATGCAGTAAATTCCTATTCTTTCCAATATTATATTAATTTCTTTCTCCTTTATTTACAATTATTAATTTATGTCTATTTAACTTTTTGTTTGATTGGTCATCATTAGTTATTATAACTGCCTTGACAAGTATGTATATGATCGGACTCTTCAGAATGTATAGCACAAACACACTGCCTTTTCAGAATAACTCCATCGGAAAACATTAAAACAACTGTGGCTTAGACTAGTTATTTACACCCGCCCTTGCATTATCAAGCTATGTTTCATATCTTCCTCCTTTACATTCCTGTAACCTGTCTCCTAATAATAGTATCAATAATCTTAAAAACGGCATAATCAGTTATTATTACTGTTTTAAGATAGATATGAAAGCCGATAATTTTTTCAGTGATTACATTTTGGATAATAATGTGCTCTAGTAATCACGCTATCACCAGTTAAGATTCATATGTAAATATGGTTGCAGCCAGAGATTATTTGTTTCTTAGTATGCTATATATTTATATATTTGAGTTAAAAACGTGTGCACCTAGACCGTACTGATCATTTGTTTCGATAACACTTAAACCAATGATCATTTTATCTTATGATTTTCTGTCATCATCTCAAAATTTACCCTTAAGGCTAGAGAAAAAAAGAAGTCGTTTTAATGTTAGCCTATTCCATGTCAATGCCCTTCGGAAATATGTGGTAATAACTTAATGTGTTCTACATTTGATAATATACACAGTATTGTTACACAGAACGGTGACTTATTCGTTGATACACAAAGTTCGCAACAAGTGGGCCTTATTTTTGAGCTCTACTCCAACACCGACTAGTACTATTAGTCCTCATATATAATAAGTGGCTACTAGATAAGTACAGAAACCTATTATTGGCAGATAAGCAAACCGAAATAAATAAATAACGTCAAATCGTCAATAACTAAATGGATTATCAATTATATACAACGTCAATTAAACGCTATTTATATGAGCAACTAAATGAACCTTGATAACGTAACGCAGAACACTCTGAGTCACCAAACCACTTACTAGTGCCAAATTTTAACATTTTTATGTAACGTCAGCAATTCCATATAACACGGATCACTAACTATTTATATTGAACACCACCACGCAAAGATAACCAGCACATGAAAAATTTATTTGCTTGTATATTGATATAACCTTTGACTACGTCCACTACAGTTTCCACTAATTATTTGTCTACTTAAGTTAAATACACTTAATACACATACAATTTCGGTGTAAAATAACATATTTTCAACAACTAAGCATAATTGTCAACCACAGCTTCAACATATTTTGCAATTGTTTCACACCACACCCTCTATGTGTAATTTTTCTCCAAATAATAAAAAACAAACCATTAATAAATATTAACTTCTATATTTTAGGTTATGGCGTCTGTCTCTCACTATCACTGCCTCCCTCTTCTTGGAATATGTTTATCTCAATCAAGAAAATGCTTAGTTTCAGCTTACGTAGTAAATGGAAGTCTTGATCGTTATCTAAGACTGCGTGCCCCAAATATTGACTCCTTAATTCTTTTAGATTGGGCATCTCAGATTGCCGATGGAATGGCATACTTACAATCTCGAGGAATTATCCATCGGTGAGTAATTTTGTAATTATAACACGCCACTTATCAGGTAGTTTCATTTTACAACTGTTTTTCGTAAAATGATCATTTGAGGTCTCTTGCTAGTTTGTGAACACAAATTTCAACGTTCATACAGTATCGGACTCATCCTTTGAGACGACTTAAAAAATCACACAATGTGTAAAATTGCTTTCATATGGCCCTAGTTCCCTTTATTTAACATTCTTTTCCATCCCTTAAACATTCACTCGTTTTAATTATCCTATCATATAAACACCTTGATAGGATGGGAAGAAAAATCAATATTCGATTGATTCACTTAATATGAGTTTTGTTCATCATCACATCCTTCTTGATTCAATGTAATGATTACTCAATGTAGTAATTGTTTTCTTTTCTCGCATGATATTTTAATTTGTATAATACACAATATCCTTGTATTTCATTGACTATGAACTATACTCGGCATATGATTTCTTATCACTGTGAGTATTTTTCATGTATGTGATTTTATTCTAATTATTAATCAAAACGGGTGTACAATCAATATATAAACGAGTATATGTTCTACTAAACACTTTTCTCTGGTTGCTGCAGAATACACTTCTCATTCCGAGCTTGGACTTCTCTCTCTAAATAGCGGGGCTGGGGCGCAGCAATAGCTAACTTACTGAACTTTGATCACCGAATCTCGTTCTCGTACGCGGACTACGTGAACCCTTGACAGTTTTCAAGCCTAACACACCTCTAATTAATTCATCTTCTCATAAAAACCTTGTAAAGTAATAAAATATCTCTGATGGTGTAGTTTCGTCTTTAGCCTTTGGTTCTGATAATTTCTTGCCTGTCAAGCGATTCATTTATGTAAGTATTTATTTTACACTTTATTACCAAATGAACTCTATGATTTCCCTTAAAATACTAACATAAGTAAATTAACGAATAATTCTAGCCTGAAAGTTGGAGTTCAAATCGGTATTAAATAAGGACCAGAATAGAAAATTTCTACATCCACACATGGTCCCTCATAAATTTGAAGGAATATTCAATAAGTTATCAAATATATAACTTCAATTACATCTAACATCAACTAAGTAACCTCGTAATATAATTTTGTAAATTTCAGTGATTTGGCTACTCGAAATGTTCTAGTTACATCACCAGAACATCTACAAATTACAGATTTTGGTTTAGCAAAAATGCTGGAAAGTGAAGAAGAAGCTAAACGTAACGAAGTAATTGTTTGTTCTGGACGTGTTCCTATCCGTTGGTTAGCCTGTGAAACGCTGACTCATCGTATTTACTCATTCAAAACTGATGTTTGGGCGTACGGTAAGTAAACATCTAGATCAAATTCACCAACCTCTGTGTGATAGATTTCGATAAAAGAAATACGTGATATTTCTTGGGTGACAGGCGTTTTGAAACAAACAAATATGAAGAACCAGGCATGTAAATAAATGAATCGTGCTCCACACTGTAAAATTCATTCAAATTTTCTAGACATTTCTATTTAATTTTGAATCATTATACTCATTATGAAGATTAGTATGCTACTATACCATTCATCGACTAGCTGATATACGCGCTCTCTATAAATAAATACCTAATTAGAACGAACTAATTAGATGAAAATAATCTCAATACTTCTATGGCTTATCAAAATTTCTACACTACGAAACCGTATGAAGACAAAGATTAATGAAAGACATATGTTTATCTGTTTTTACGTATAAAACTGATTAGTTCACTCTTGAAAATATCCTAACAGGAAATAATAACCAACACATAAGGTACAAAATATTCTCTTCGTTGCTCGATAGATTAGTAATATTCTGGAGTATAAAGTAAACGATAGTTATAATCAAGTTCCAAATAAATCATATACTAAAATACGAGGATAACTGAATAATGAACCCCAAATGATACAAAATATTCGTCTTAAAATTCCCTAGTAGCTATTACTAAATAAAATAATTCAATTCAAATAGGCTGTTACCAAATGTATTGGGAATATTTTTATAACTATATTCGAAATAGTTTATTTTCATGGGAAGTTTTATTTTCTTTTATTGCAGCGTCAAAATATACATAAATATTTTTGAACAAAATATTTCTCTACTAGTGTAATTTGATTGAAACCGACCATAAGAACGGAAATAAGTTAGACTTTTATGTTGCAATGATGAGTTTTTGATAAATTTAAACTAAGGATAACAACTAGGCATTCTAAACTCAAGATTTCGATTCTTATTAATTTTGTAAATGTAAAAATTTGGAGATTACAAATGTGAATTTTGTAACAAATTCTAACATTTATTTCGCATTTTTAGGTGTCACTATTTGGGAAATTTTCACATTTGGGGACAAACCATTTGATCGTATAGAAACGGCCAACGTAAAAGATCATGTTTTAGCAGGTGGACGTCTTCCACAACCTGATATATGTACACTCGAACTATATCAAGTTATGTTAAATTGTAAGTTTATTTAAAATGTCATTACACAAAACTCATTATTTTAAGACTTACTACAGTCAAGTAATGTTAACCAATAATTCCGTTAAAATAAGTAAGAGAATCAGTTATAAAAATCATTGAAATTATCCGAAAATAATTGTCATGTTTGGAATTAAATAATTCAAGTTTTACTTAATGAGAGTTAGTAATCAGAATTATACAGTTCAGTATTTCACAACTAAAAATATACCCCGTAAATAATCGCAATTTCTACTCTAATCGACTAGTTGCATAAAAGAATTTAAAATTAACAATCGTTATTACTTACTTACTTACGCCTGTTACTCCTCGTGAAGGAGCATAGGCCACCCACCAGCATTATCCATCCAATCCTGTCCTGGGCAATCCTTTCAAGCTCTTTCCAGTTCTTATTTATCTTTTTCATATCTGCTTCTATTTCCCGACGTAATGTGTTCTTTGGCCTTCCTCTTTTCCGCTTCCCTTCAGGATTCCAAGTTAGCGCTTGTCTCGTAATGCAGTTTGATGATTTCCTCAATGTATGTCCTATCCATTTCAATCGTCTTTTCCTAATTTTCTCTTCAGCTGGAAGTTGGTTTGTTCTCTTCCACAGGAGGCTGTTGCTGATGGTATCCGGCCAATGGATGTTGAGTATCATGCGTAGACAGCTATTAATAAATACCTGTACCTTCTTGATGTTGGTTGTTGTAGTTCTTCAAGTTTCAGCTCCGTACAGTAGAACTGCCTTGACGTTGGTATTGAAGATTCTAACTTTGATATTGGTTGAAAGTTGTTTTGAGTTCCATATGTTCTTCAGTTGAAGGAATGCCGCTCTAGCTTTGCCAATCCTTGCCTTGACGTCTGCATCTGAACCTCCTTGTTTATCGACGATGCTTCAATCGTTATGTTTAGTTAATAAATTTCTTTTAGACTAATAAGGTCGCACTGTAATTACTTGAACACATAAAAACTTACTTTCAGTATATCTATAAGGATAATCGTATAATTTCAGAATCGTTTTTTATTCTATACTAAAGTACTAAAGTATCTGTGTTCATACTGGACAAACCAAAAGTTATTGGTTCATTTGATATTCAAAGTTTAAAATAATTTTTCTGTTCTAAAACCCCACTTAATCATACTGAGTATCTTGAGATTTCCTTATACTGAATATTATAACAAACTGCCTTTACAATCTACGGCCATGAAGCATATTTGTTGAAAACGGTAAACATGGTTAGGTCGACAATACACGATGATTGAAGATTATTTACCGCAAAGCAGAAACAATCAATTTTTATGTATTTTATAATATCGAAAAACTTTATAATCTTTCATTTTTATTCTGTAATGCAGTCCTTGTGCATTTCATCATATTTATTCATTCTGTATACAATTACTAAATGCGGCATAAAATGATAATGTAATTTTTCAAGACCAAAGGTAGGCTAATATTTCATTTCTAAGCAAATAAATGCAGTTCATCATATTTCGGTGTTGATTAAATAGATTTCCATGAATCTTTAAGATAAACCAACTACCCAAGAATTTACTAATAAATAAAAGAATATTAAAGTAGAAAGTAACATTCACTTTTTTCATTTCATTAAGTAATTTAAAAATAGTTTTAAACTTTGTCTTCTGATAGGTTGGAATGAAAATCCTGATGCTCGACCGAATTTCGTGGAACTGTACAACATGTTTAAGGACTTCGCACGTCAACCACATCTTTATCTTCATTCCAGAGTAAGATTCTCTTTTTTCTGACCAATTGTATTTCTACATTTAGTAATAACCTTATAGAGCCTTTCTAAAAAGCATTTTGTTACTCCTTTGAAAACATCACTAACTTGGTTTTACTAATATGATTCAATAACTATACGTCGATAATTCTATATGATAAATAGATGTATTTAATGGTAAACGGCAGTTTACCCTTAAATTTATTTCAGTTTACTTTTGTTTCTTCATATGGTACTACAGACTAATAAACATGTGTGAAATTGTAGCTAAAAAGAAATGTGGTTTTATGCACCCCTTTTTCAATGTCCAATAGCTATGCCCTGTTCTTGTTTTCCAGTCATTTTTCTGTTCATTTAGTGGGTGAGTGGGTATATAAGTGTGAAATTTTTACTGGATATTTCATTTTAAGTTTTAACTAACACCATATTAGTACTTGTTATTGAATATTTTGGGGTGCGATGACGTTTGCATATCAGACAGATGGGGATAAATTTAGATGCTTACAATAAAATCTTCACTGAGTATTATACTCTTATATGCGGCATTTGCCTACCAAATAAATGGGTAAACGCCGGAAAATGTTAGAGACGCCACATTTATTGAGCATGGAAATACGGATGGATGACCTTACACAAAATATAATACTCACCTGCAATAACATTTGGTATTATCAGTATATCGAGAGAAAGTTCTTATAATTACCTGTCATCATTCACGGCTGTCCAACTAAGTGATAAAGAACTCTTTATAGAACGAAAATAAGACGAATGGAATTTTAAATTTTATAGGAATAATCTTTCTATACACTTCAAATACCTGATTGCTTACTCAACAGTTTTTATACGACCTTTCACATTACAATTGTCTGTCAAATAAAATATCGTTCTCTTCTAGTGTCAAGGAATTCAGCCTATTATATTATAGATTCATACAAAGAAAAAGACATTAGCCAGTGAACTGAACAAACTTTAATTCTGAAATGGAAAAATTATGTATGATGCATAGTTATCAGTAAAAATTTCTTTAAGGTGAACTACCCCTTGTGGACTTGAATGCCAAATTATTTTAAGTGGTCATAAAATATTTTCGAAAAATTTCTAGAAACTCCATATGACTCATATATATATATATATATATATATATATATATATATATACCGAACTACCATGTTTTATAAATTAATTACTATGATCGTGAAAACAGAAGAGGTTGGACTTGTTTGTATTAATCATAGAGCTGAAATCTATATATTTTCTTATCAAATCTTTAGTGAAGCGTAAATGGTTTATCCTAAATTATTTCAAAAGTTCTGTTAAACACATAAACATGTACTAAAGTTGGTCAAATGTTCCTTGTTAATGAGACAATTCACAGCTGGACTTTTAAGTGCGCTCATCTAACTATAGACAACATATTGAGCTTCTTGTGCTAATTTATTCTAGTCTATAATCGCACACTGACTGATAAGTTGCCTGTCAATGTGGATTAAAATGTAAAGGCTTTTTAATGCGTTAGCTTCCTTGACAAACGATTAAGAAGGTGATTAGTTAATACAGTGTAGCTTCTTAAGCTTGCTACAATTCATTGACCGGGTGAGCTTTGATTTTATAAATATTGTAAATGTGGAGTTTGTTAAGTATTCCTTTAGATAAACACATTTTATTTCAGTTGTATTCTGTATGACTTACTTTTAGAGGACATTTAAGCAAATAAAAACTTTTCAAAATCTTTTCGAAATGATTGTTCGATGAATATGATCTCTTACGTTACAATGAGACAAATATTTTTATACCATAAAGTGGATTAAGTCATTGCATATTTATCTATATCCAAAATTTAAGGCTTGATATTTGAGTAAAATGACTTCAATGCTTCTTTCACCGAATAAAAAATATTTTGCTTTAGAAAATAATATTTAATAAGTTTAAACTAGTGATATTGAGTGTTACGTTCATTGTTAAACAAGTTAACGCTCAGATTGCAGTATCTGATATTTATAAATATTAAAGTATATAGGATTTTATAGATCATGAGGTGTGTATACATTCACAATGAAAAAAAGTTAAATAATAATCACATTTCCATTTTAATTGATGGACTTGTTAAACATTATCCATAAGTTAATTGTTTATTTGACAAAATCATTGGTATCCAATTTTTTTCACTTGATACTTTAGAATGAAAGTAGTTCAAATACCGAAGTCTACAGTAGCACTGGCGACACAAGAAGTCGTGCAACAATTTATCCAACTACTCGATTATCTGGTGAACGTTTTCGACAACCAGACCAAACTGTTCCTTCATTTCAGTCAATAAAAAGTAGGAATTCTTGTTCGCCTCTACAAAATTCAAGTTCCAGTAGTGGATTAACAAATCGGCGCTTTGATGTTGGTAGACGCACACGTACCAGTTTACTACTACCTCCAACAGTCCTACAAGCTAATCGTACTGGGAAGTATCCGCGACATAAACGACGTAGTGTTGGAGCTCGTACTGATTACACAATGTCAGCATCCTTAAGTATAAACTCTGCGATTGGTGAGCGTTGGGGTAATTCATCGTTTGCTACACACAGTCACCCAACGTTAATTAAAGTTGATGAAGCAAATGGAACAGGAACTATTAGCCATAATTTTAAGATAAATAGCAATACATCTGGAAATAATCGGAATAATGAACAGTTTAATGTTGGCTTGTTTTCAACTGATTCATGGGCAAGTAGTGGACAACCCTTACTATCAAGTGACCAAGATAGTTCATTAAGCCATCTAATGCTGTCGAATTTCGGTTACACAAGTAGTGAAAGCAGAAGCAGTGTGACAGTCAATTCCCCTAGCCAACATAATCGAAATTTTTCATCAGCAGGTTCGTCAATTCCAACGGAATCAAGAAACTCAGAACAACAATCTGCAGATGAACCTACGTCAAACACACAGAGAATAGGACTTGACATGAGAAGTGGTCTCCCAGTCAATACATCATTTGAGGCTGCTGCAGGCTATGTATGGCCTCAATGGCCTGATGCCATTCCTAATCCAGAAAATAACAATTTAGATCAGGCAAATTCAAGTGAAACTTCTTATGTCTTTAATGCAATCGATTCTGAATCAGAAAACAATTTACCGTTCCTTAACCGTCAACTTTGGCTTCGACGTAATGCTCGTCAACGGCGTTATTATCTTAGACAACTGCAGATTCACAGAAGCGTTGCTGATTCCAGTTTGCCAGAACAAGCAGGTGAAGACGCTATGGAGGAATCTTCAAGTTGGGCAGAACCCTTGCGATCAAATCAGAGTAATCCGAATGGGCAACAAGAAGACAGTGATAGTGATCCAGGTTCTGCTGATCGATACTGGCCCGATCCAACATATTCTCCACAAAACGTGTAGCGCCATACTAGTTTACTTTTTTGTAACTTTACATCTTTTTATGAGCGATTTTATAATCACATTTTAAGTTTAAAATGCCTTTTCTAATTCATGATCTCATCAGATACAAAAAGCTATCAAGTGTCAACACTTTGAAATGTGTAAATACCTCATCCATATTTACTTTCGGCTAAAATGAATATATTCATAAACTGACTTTGTGCTTTATCTAGCGACTATGTCATTTTCCCAACTGATTGCATAAAATTAAAACTCATTCTTTCTGTAAATGTATCTTTCTGTGTGTTTAGGTTCATAATATTTATTTACCAATCCCTAAAAAACGACATATTTATGAAGAATGATTTTATCTGTATTGTAAACTAATTAGGTTTACTATTGTGTGCACGGTTAAGAGTTATTTAATGCTAAAAACAACACGTTAGTTTCTTAAAGTTTCATAGATATGGGTGGAGGAAATATAATGAGTTATTTAAAAAATAACTGTTTTTTAATGGTTTATGAGCAGTTGATTTCAAACAAGTAAATATAATCAGAATGAGATGAACCTTACAAAAACTATAAAAGAAAATTAGTTTTCAGAAAGTAGAGAATAGTTTAACGATTCTCTTTTAGTTGTTCTAATACAAGATTTTTATCAGTACAGGGTTGTGGGAGTTGTTGAGTTTCATTGAAATCATGAACCAGACAATGTTGGATCACCATTGAAAACCTGTAAGAAATAGATGGCCGATTCCTCCTCAACGGTGCGCATCCACGACGCTGCACGCAGGAATCAAACTTAGGACCTACAGTCTCGCGTGCTAACGCTTAACCTCTAGACCACTGAGTTTGCATCCATCAATGTCTGGTTTTAATTAATCCACAATATTTTGCGACCATCTTCAACTGTCTTGAGTGGGCAACTGCCTCACATCTAAAACGACTGAACTCCACTGGTTACGACATCTCACTAGAACAATGAGAATTCTTTTTCGAAGTTATTCACTAGTGAGCACACGATAATTATCAGTATGGGGTTGTGGAGGTTGTTGATTTTCAAGTTTGGTGATGAAAAAAGACTTTTTGTGAAGTCCTACGGAAAAAACATCTGTAGTATGGGAGTTGAAAACGGACATTAACTGGGGGGAATCAGTTTGACAAAGTGCACACATCAATCTTAAAACCTGGTGCCCATTAGTTTTGTAGTGAATAAGAACCCAGGTGGGAACAACAAAATTATTGTTTAATACAGAATTACAGAATGTTTTGGTAAAATATGAGAACCATACAATAAATACTTAATTTGCAACTCTTCTCTCACTCGTCCTTCACATTCTGTATGCTTCTTCCAATTTACAATTCTTCTCCATTTCCCCTTAATCTTCATAGCCTTCTGCTGCCAGGTTTTCCACTTCTGATAGACATAAGTTGCACACATTACACTTGTCTCCCCTTTAAACGGTCGCTTTTGTGGTTGCTCTGCTCGCCGATCTACCTTCTTCTTAGCTTCAGTCTGTGCCACGCCCCCCGCTAAAGTGTCGAGTCCTCTGGTGCTCTGACCTCTATAGCAATGTCGACATGCCGGGCCATCTACCTCAGATGTCAACCCAGCGGCCGCACGTCCCACTGCCTCTCTCCTTAAACAACAACCACTACGACCAACGCCGACTCGCTAGAACACACCACTCGACGTCACCTTGTGTTTTTCGACATACGTAGCATACACCACACTACTACAGAAAGTCAGGTAGTAGTAATTTTAATAGGTCTTTTATGGTATTCTCAAAAATTAAACAAGAATTTTAGTGAATTTGAAATACTAAAGATAACGTATTGGGATTATAAACGGAACACTTGTGTTGGTTGATATAAAAAAAAATTCATCTTTTCCAAAAAAAGGATAATAACAGAAATAAAAACCTAATGCATTTTCTCTCTCGTTCTTTGGCTTCCATCAATGCATTACATGAACCACTATTTAGTTGAACTTAAACCACAATATTCTATACAACAGTTATACTTACTACTCATATAGAAAAACCTTCAAAATGTCATTCTACTTAATCAAAATTGAGCATCCGGATTCCAAATCGATAGCTGCAGTTTTAAAAAGATTCTCTTTGTTTCCTGGTTTTGTTTTTCAGCATATTTACACAGTTGAAAATCATTTCCCCAAATTGTTTTAGTCTCAAGTTTAACCTCTCGTGGTTCAAGATAGTTTTCATCCTTGTGATTTCCAGTATAAGTACTCGTATGCCCTCATCTTTAATAGGTGTGACGTACTGTTCACTTCAAACGCCATTGCGTTATCCACTCAGACGCCACTATCTTAATCTAAAACGAAGAAATCTGATTTCTTTTAACTCGAGGATTCCTTGATAGGTTAAAAATGTCAACTTGAGGTTGCCCAAACCAGTCATTGAAGTATCAAGTAAAGTCAAACAGAATCAGTATCATTAATTACCTGAATTTTTAAACTATAATAAAGACCCTATGCTATACAAAATATTCATCATCATACTCAGAATATTTGTAGTTGTTGGTTCCAATGGCTTAGGGAGCCGATTTCTTGGTGACTGCTATACATAGCTGGAAGACACCCTTATGCTTATCGGTTTAGTCGTTCAGTACTCTTAGTCACTTGCTGAAGTGTAATAGTGTGATATGAAGCCAATATACATAATTTGTAAGCACAGGCTATTATAACTCACTACAAGAGTTTTTAGAAAACATATAGCAATGGATACATACTCAGTAGAAATTTTACAAAACTTTGGAATATCGGGAAAAACTTTTTGTTTATCCACAACTTTCAGGTTATAAAAAACCCAAAATCCACCATCAGTCAGTATTGTAGTAGAGAATAATTTCCCTAAATTATTAGATTAATAGGTGATTGACATATGATGCTGTCATAGTTGGTTTCTTTATCTGATTCACTCATTTATGGTTTAGGGCTCTGTTTAAATCTGTTGTCCAACTCTATTCCTATTTGATCAACCTTAAAAAACTTGTTTAATAGTTTAGTGTGCTGTAATACTAAAGCCTGTATATCACCGAATTGTTTTGAAATATTTGACAAATTTACTGTTTGTGAATCCAGTCTGTATTTCACTTTCATTCTAAGAAAATGAAAGGGGTAACTGAAATCGTTGAAAATCTAATGTGAAGCTTGGACAGATTAACGCCAACAAATAACTTGGTTTGAAGAAAGTTTGAACAATACACATAGCGCATGTTTCAACACAATGTTAATGGTTTACAATCATTTAAAATAATCAGTATTCAAACAACTTTGAATGTACCATGTTAATCTGAGGCCGTCGCTCATAAAATGTTGAAACCAAACCTGAATATTCTGAAAGAAACCGTTGTGAATCTCTCACCTCCCTGATAACTTCTATTTTTCAGTGTTTAGTTAAGTAATATTTCATTTCATATTCTCTTTCTTTTTTAAATCATTTTTAAGCTTTACTTATCCTACTCTGCTAACCTATTCAACTTTATGGTTGTTATTACGAAACTTTGACATCAATTTCCATTCTCCAGAAATCTGTTTCCATATATTCTAAAACTTTTGTTGTACAATTTTCACATTTAATAGCACATGAATGTTTATCCAATTTATCAATTTAAAATTCTTCCATTCTTCATTAAAATGATATGAAGTATGTAAATTGGTTATAAATAATTATTGCTATTGTTTCTAGGTTGTAAGCAACTGATGAGAATCCATGAAACAAATGAATTCATCTTATTCGTTGCTATTCATCCTTTTGAAATCTGTTTTCAATTCTCATGCACAATACTCGCACGCAAAGCTACATGGGTCCCACCGGAAGATACCACGGAGAACCAAATAAATAATATTAGCATCACTAAAATGTTCAGATAGGCAAACTTCATCTTTGTTTTTAATACAATTCAAACATTAGGAATTTGTAATTTTAGTTAGTAAAATCTGGTATGAGTGAGGATCGGTCGAAGTTGGTACATCCAGATGACCTAGCTCTTGTATCCCACATACATCAACAAATGCAGGTGAAGACAACCAGTGTAGGAACAACAACATACTCACACTTGATGAGGAAACTCTGGAACAGGTGGAAACTTTCACGTACCTGGACAGCAACATCGATGAACAAGGAGGATCTGATGTAGACGTAAAGGTTAGGACTGCCGAAGCAAGGATAACATTCTTACAGTTGAACAACATATGGAACTCAAAGCAACTGTCAACAAATACCAAAATCACAATCTTCAATACGAACTTCAAGACAGTTCTATTGTACGGAGCTGAAACGTGCAGAACTACTACAACCATCATCAAAAATGTACAAGTATTTCCAAACAATTGTCTACGCAAGATAGTCAGTGTCCGTTGACCGGATAACATCAGCCACAGACTACTATGGGAGAGAACAGACCAGCTTCCAGCTGAGGAGGAAATTAGAAAAGATGTTAGAAGTGAATAGGAAATCATTAAACGACATCACGAGGCAAGAGCTAACTTGAAATCTTGAAGGGAAACGGAAAAAGGAAGACTAAAGAACACACTGCGTTGAGAATTGAAAGCAGATTTCAAAAGGATGAATAGCAACTGGGGACAACTGGAAAGGATTGCCTAGAACAGAGTTGGATGGAGAATGCTGGTGGAAGGTTAATGCTCCTCCATGAGGGGTAACACGAGTAAGTAAGTAAGTATTGATGGGAAGAACTGTGTGAAATAAATTTATTACTGAATAAAACCTGATTCTTGCTTCGAGCTTGCTCATAAACTAGTCAGTATTTTAGTTAGAAAATTTCAGTATCAATATATTATAAAACATATCGAAAGTATTATTTAGAAAATGAAATTGATGTATTTTGAGATTTTGTTGTCTTGAAAGATAGAAGTTCGACCAGCAGAACTAGTCAACTATAAAGTTGAAACATAAAACAACTATTGTCCGAACGTCTATTTGTTATAACCCTCACTAGTTATATAAATATAGAGGTTTCTTCATTATGAATCCAAGAGAAACTGTTCTATTGAGTGTTGTTGTAATATCTAATAATGACTTAAAAATTCTGCTAATTTTAATGACACATTTAATAATATTTCCATGACTGACTTCCGAAATCTAAGTTTCTTTATCAACTCAATATAAATAACTTTTAATCTGAAGTTATGTCCTCTTTAAAGAAAACATACGAATAAGTGAATTTTAAAGTGTATTTGTCTTTTATTCACTAGAGCTTTTGAGACAATTTCTTGAGTGATCTAGCTACTTGTTGGTGAATCAAATTTAATACTGATTAAAGGTCTTCAAATCGCTAAGCGAACCAGACTGTCTAAATTACTCACAATTTTGTACAGAAATCTATTAACCAGTAAACATGATCATTAATTAATCAAAATAACCAGTACGTTTCATAGAAATCGACTAAATTTATTTGATAATGATGAATTCTCCCCATATAAAAGGTACTGACAACTACTTTTGATGAGCAACAAA